TCCCAGCAACCACATGGTGGCTCACAACCATTTCTAATGAGATCTGGTGCCCTCTACCGGTGTGTATGCATACGTACAGTACAAAATACTGTATAACTAATATATAGATACATCTTTAAAAAATATATAAATACATCTTTAAAAAAAAATTTAGAAACTACCTTATTGCAAAAGGCACAACCATAATAACACCATTGACTTCTGTGCTGGGTGATTTTAAGAAAGTGATGCCATGCCTTTCTCCACAGGAAAAGGATGTGTGTGGGAGAGAGTTTGGCTTGCACGAAGCTGTTCTTGCTCCTGATTACCATTTTGCAAACCTTTAATCTAGAATCTTTGGTTGACATCATCAGTACAGTGTTTTCCTATATACCAGTTCCTCATCAGTGCTGTCTGAAGAAAGCCAGAATGTGGGGGGTGAGGAGGTGGCTGTTATGCTGTTGTCTGTAGTCCCCTTCTCTGGTGCATGGTCCACTCCTTCCCACTTAGATATGCCTTCTCTGGTCCCTCCCCTCCACTTCCCCCTTCCCTCAAGGTCTAGAGACTTGTTCATCTCCACTGGGCAATTTCCCTGGTTATTGCACGAATACAGCCCACAATACACACTGCTTCCCGGGGCCTGTACTGCTTGCACTGAGTACCCCAATTTTATTTTATTTTATTATTTTTTTCCCCAGACAGCGTTCTATGTGTAGGCTTGGCTGTCCTGGAACTCACTCTGTAGACCAGACAAGTCTTGAACTCACCAAGATCCACCTGCCTCTGCCTTCTGAGCGCTGAGATTAAAGGTGTGCACCACCATTGCCCACTGACTACCCCAATCTTTCATACCTATCTAAAGCTGAGTTACTGCAGAGGGTGAAGGCTTATTCCTGTCATCTCAGCAGCTGGGAAGCTGGACTCAGAGGATTGCTTTGAGTTGAGGCCTTGCCTGGATTTTACAGAAAATTCCATTTTAGTCTAGCCTACAGAGTGAGATCCTGTCTCAAGAATAAAAGTGCTAAGTTATTAAGTGCTAAGGTTGTCATAGTAAAACAGCAACATGATTACCAATGACTAAACAGTCTTTTGTTCTGTTTTGAGACAGGGTCTCTCTATGTAGCCCTGGCTGTCCTGGAACTTACTATGTAGACCAGGCTGGCTTCAAACTCAGAGAGCTCCACCTACCTCTGCCTCTCTGAGTGCTGGGATTAGAGGTGTGCACCTCACACCACATCTTCTTCTGGTTCTGAGGGCATACACACAGGCACATTAAAAAATAAATACATGTGGGGGGTGGTGGCCAGCCTAGAACAGAGCGAGTCCAGGACGGCCAGGGCCATACAGAGAAACCCTGTCTCAAACAACAACAGCAAGG